GACAAAATAATTTCAGTTCCTGATCAGTATTTATACCATTCCTTCCTTCTGGACTAATCATAGACTGAGGCACAATCTGCCACTGAAGTCCTTATATGTCTCTGTGTGCAATGAGATTCACAGACCCCACAAAAAGAATGGAAAATCTTGCGTACATTTGCAAAATGCACATAAAAAGAACTCTACTTTTGAAAAATGTGCAGAAAAATGTTTTAATCAATAGGAGAAGTTTGTGTATATTTCAAAGGTGCACACAGCTGATGTGTACATGTAGAAAAATATGCACAAATTTTCTGGCAAAAAATAAAAAGGGTTTGCAATCAAAAATTGGGCTCAAATCAGAACAAGGCTCAAGAAGAAATCTGGTGCACTTTGCCAAACTTGAGTTTTTGCTAATTTGAACATGCATAAATGGCTTCTAGTAAGACTTCATCCTTTAATTGTATTTTACACATTACAGACTTATCTTGTATACTCAGAAAAATGTTAATGTTTGAAGAATACAACATTACAGAATACAATGTTTGATACTCCCCATCTCAGTCCACAAGTACAGCATAGAAAAATGTATAAGCCACCTACATACAATTGTATTTTTCTATGATGGGCATGAAAGAAGGCATAGATTGGCTTCAGGCATTACAGGTCTACTGGATGCATAACTGGGTTTGATAACTGCTGCCCAATTTATTGCTTGATAGTTTTCTCATTTTAAATGTTTAAACTGAAAATGTTTTTGCTTGAAAGAAACATTGTTATAGAGATGTTTTGCATTGTCTTTTAAAATGTTTTAACTGCAGCTGTTTTATACTTTAAATATTTTGGTTGTACCATTTTTAGATGTAGTCAAGTGGCCCATTCCTTGATTAAATAAATAATAAAGGGCTCCTGCCCATTAAAAATACCTCTTAACAATTGAAGTAGTATTACAGTATTGATGCATCCTACAGGATACTTAAAGTTCACCAGAGAGACAGGAATACACATAGAACTCACACACACTTCTGAAGGGCTTCAGACCATGGCTGAGGTTGCAATCTTATGCAGACTTATCTGGGAGTAAGCCTCATTTATCTCAATGGGGCTTACTACTAGGATTATGCTGCAAGGCTTCTGGATAAACCAGCTAAAGCACGGGGTTTTCAGCTGGACTCTGATGTTCACATGCTGACTCAGGTATTATCCCAGTGTGTCACCTTGACCATGTCACTGTGGCTCTGTCTTGGTCCCTGTTCTGTTTAATGGGGTTAATCGTCCTCTCTAATGGCCATGCAGGGATATGAATGATTCCAAACAACTTTGAAGTGTTGTATAAATAAGATTATGATTTATCTCTTTAAATCTGATAATGTTTGTAATAGAATCTAGAATGGCTGATCAAAAGCCCTCCCCCAAGCCCGACCATGTGCAAGATATTGTTCTTGCTATGCTTCAAGCAAACATCTCATCAGAAAAGCAGAACAAATTAAACTACTTGCCTCTTGGTTCTAGTATTAGGATTAATTACCATTTCAGTTGAAGTCACATTGTTTATTGCTAGTGAATCAACAATAACAAAAGATGAAAAAATCCATCTGAGGGAAAACCTACTTCCTTTAGAGAGAAAATCAGCTCATGATGTGTTTCAGTAATAAACTAAGCTGCTAATCATAATTTGATATGAGAGCTGGTTTTTGTGACTGCTTTGTGAGTACAGTAGTTTCCCAAAATTTGTGAGGGTTGCATTCCTAGAGCACCCACAAATTATGAAAATTTTGAATGTGGTAAAAATGCCTATTTTTATAGTTTAAACCCTAAATATGTCGCTGCCTTGTTCTTCTTTATGTAGTGAATGGTGCTTTCATTGATGCCATAATGGCACGTTGCTGCAGCATAACTTTTTAGTTCCCGGAGCAAATCCAGAAGTTCAACTTTCTTCTGGAGTATTTTAAACTTTGTCTGGCGCTTAGGTTCATTGCCAGAAGCCTTAGAAGGTGCAGGGTGTTTGGGCGGCATCTTAGGGCTTCAAGAAGAACAAAACGGAGAACACTCAGCGAACACCAGAGATGCATCACAGGGCAGCAGCCAATCAGCGGTTTCCGCAAACAATATTAGTTCAGTTCCAAGGAAAATCCCACAAAAGGCTGAGGCCACAAACACTGAACCATGACTTCACAGGGGTATACTGTATACTTATGTGTAGGATGTTATATTAGCCCTATACTAAGAGCATACTACCAAGGCTTATTGTGCAGTCCCCGCTGCGGGGTTCTTGTGCCAACTGTGGGAATCCTGGGAAGCACACTGGGCATTTACAACATTCTTAGTTGTCCATTCCCATGCCAAATCATAGAATCATAGTATAGTTGAGTTGGAAGGTGCCAAAGGTCCATCGGTCCAGCTTCCTGCTAAATGCAGGATTCCAAGTTACACCACTCCAGTTGCATCTTGAATGCCTCTAATGTGGGAGAGCACACAAACTCCCTAGGTAATTGGTTCCACTGTCATTCTGCTCGAACAGTTAGAAAGTTCTTCCTGTTGTCTAGATGGAATCTGGTTTCCTGTTACTGAACCCATTATTCTATGGCCTGCACTGCGGAATGATCAAGAAGAGATCCTGTGCTCCTTCTCTGTGACACCCTTTCAATTACTTGTAGAGTGCTATCACTTCTTCCTTCACTCTTCTTGAGGCTAAACATGCCCAGTTCTCACAATCTCTCTTCATAGAACTTTGTTTCCAGTTCCCGGATCATCCTTGTTACCCTCTTCTGAACCCTTTCCAGCTTGTCTACATCTTGCGCTGCCCTGAACTGGAAAAAATATGCAGAAAGCTACTAGCATGAAGCAAGCTAACAGAAGATTGTTTAGCGGCCTAGTTCACATGTAATGTTAAGCTAGGATTCAGTGTTATGCATACAAGCTGTAATAAGCGAAAACCTCAGGCCTGTGTGTTTCCCCCTTCTCTCCTCCTCCTGTTTTGCCAGGAGGAAGACTCCTGTGAGTTTCCATAAATGCGGAACCAGAAATTGTGGCTTAAAACTAGCTCTGATCAGTTTCAAAACAAGCCAACGTTAAAACTCTAGATTGTTTTTCATAGTTGTAATGTAATGCAGTGACTAGCCACTTTAGTTTCACTTTATGTAAAATGAAGCTGAACTCTGCAGGAGTCTTTCTCTTGGCTCTGCAGGAGAAACAAGGAGGACGGAGCAGCAAGGAAAAGCAAAAATTTATGCCACCACGGAGTGCATGCCGGCATATCCTGGTCTAGCATTCCCCATCAACCAGTACAGTATCTTTCAGCTGAAAACTTTCTGATTAACAGCCTTTATCCTACTGTCTAGAAAGCATCCTAAAATAAAGGATTGTGGGAGGATGGAGAGATAGATAGATAAAATTTCTAATGCAGCTTCAATAAAGTCTGGAAACCAAACATCTACAAATGCTAATATATCTTTGACTCCAGCAACTACACAGTTTTCCTGAATAAATGGGAATATTCACTGTGGGGAAGCTACATTTTTAAACAGATGGCATCGATGCATCAGGCTGGAAAGAAAGAATGACAGAAAAGACAGACAGAAAGGAAGATATTTAATAGACTCTGCCATTTGCCAGTCTGCTGGGAATTTTGAATCGTTTCTTGGCATCCTTCATCACTCCAGCCTGCTGAGAAGAAATGTATGTTTTGAAAATCTGAATGTAGCTTTGAAGCAAAACCTGTCTGTAAATCTTTGACAAATCTTTCAGGACATAAACGTGCAAGTGTGGTTACCAGCTTTAGCTAGAAGGGTCTTAATGACAAGGAACAACCATTTATCATCCATACTCTGTGCATACCATTTACTGAATAAGGTGCAAGTCCAGGCGTATACAAGTTAGATAGCAATCCACCCAGCTGTTCTTATCAATCTGGCTTATGATTCTGGAGTCTCTGTTTCAAATAGCTCAGCAAAGAATGAGCTAGTGCCACCTGCTTTTGACGTCTCACTGGTACAGAAACCAAACTTGCTTGGTTCACACATGGTATGGTTCAGTAGCCCCCCTAATAACTGTTAATGATGAAGCCCTCTAGAATGATGTAACACTAAACAATTTGCAAGAGGGTCAGCCTCAGGTAATATGGATCACTGCGTGCAGTTCATCAGCTGAGATAAGAGGAAATTTGCTCTGAATCTTACATGTAAGCCAATGTGTGTGCAAACACTCACCCATGCACTCATTGTGCTAAGTAGGCCAACTGCAGTACTGGGATTCTTCCTGCTGCTGAGGCCTTTGAGGTCATATTTCTATCATTGGAAGTTAATGCTTTCACCAAAGGAGGAAAATTAAACAGAAAGCAAACTTGCTTCATAAGAGACTCCCACTGGACATAGTGTCTTTCATCGTCTAATGTAAAACAGCATAATTGTTTGGGAAGTCGAAGGCATGTACTGTGACTTCGCCATGGTGTTGCAGGATTGCACAGATAGAGAGCCACATAACTCTTCAAGAAATCCATTGGCCAAGCAGAAACCCAGGTGTGGGGGCAACAGTTCCATTGCTCATATTTGAACAAGTCTGTTGGTTCAGGGCTGGGCAGATGGGCATCGTTTTGTCTAAGTTAAGCTGCTGCTTTTGCTTCACAAATGACAAGTAGCTCCATTCTGCTTAGAAAAGTCCTGCTGCAGCAGATATACTGGGGAGGAGAGGGGAAGCAGCTTTGGTTCGCTTCTCTGTGGCATTTAAAAGTAGAAACAGAAAAAAGTTGCTTTGAGGAGCTGCCTGGACAAGCAATGATTGGACCATGGCGGTGGTGCTGGCAGAGACTGTGGCCATGCAGTATAATAACTGTGTATGACAAGGACGTTGTGTGTAGGGGGGTTTTCAGTGCAGGGGTGGGCAGGGGAAGGGAGGAAGACTCACTGCCCCAGACGCCCTTTTCTGTGAGTGTTGAAGGCTGAGCTGTGAGTGTGTAGATGCAACCTGCGTGAAGGACTGCTATTCCTGAAAGGAACAGAGAAGATGCTGGAGGTAACACCCACCTCTGAGGAGAGAGAAGCCACAGACTGGAAAAGCTCTGGAGAAAAAGAAGAAAGATTTGTTTGGATAAAAGTTTTCTTTAGCAGGCAAAGTTTGAGTCTATGGGGTGGGGTCCACCAATGCTGAACCAGGCTGCATTGCTCAGGGGAAAGGAAATGGTGCTCTTGCAGTGGAACAACTGCAACACTTCCCTGCCACTCCATCCACAACTTCAGACTCTCTAGATATTTTGTACAACTCCTGTCACCCGATTGATGGGAGTTGTAGTGCAGAATATCTGGAGGGTGCCTGGTTGGGAAAGCTGACTTTATAGCAATGGAAATTAACATTGCCCAAGGCTAAAAACTTCCATGCTGGCTTTCCTATCCTGGTAATAACTAGGCATTGTAAAGTAACCATTTAAAAAAAAATGATGCCTAGAGATTTTAGGGTTTGTGTGATGGAAAAGCTGGTCCTCTTTACAGTACACATTTTATACTACCATAAAAATAGCATCTGGCAAACCAAAAAAAACCCCAACAACAACAAAAGGGACACTTGTGTGCACTTCATGTAAACTCAGGGAAAAGAATAAAGGCATGTTTAAGAAGAAAGCATTGCAGCTACCAATGCTGATAATTTCTGGAATGCATGATAACATGTCTTAAAAAAACAAGGTATTTTTTATTGCACATGTTTCATATTATTTCCTAGAGTTTTTTTGCATTAAAGACTGCATGGATCCTAGCTGCTTAATAATGATGTCCTTGTACTCATGCAAATCTCACAGAGTTTGCAATAAATATAAACATAATAGTTCTGATTTGATATCATCTGTAATTATCTGGATCCTAATTACAGGAGCCATTCTGGATCCAAATATCATTTCTTCTCCAGTTTCATATTCCCCCTCAGTGTTCCACAGAAGGAGTAAGAGTAAGAAGGAAATGTTAACATTCCAACAGGGTATTGAGAGAAGATATTGACAGGGAGTGCTTCAGAAATAGATTATAACAAAACACCAAATGTATTACTTTTACCTCAGCAGTAAGCTTTTGTAAATTGAAGTCAAATATGTAATCGTTGAACTCTGCTATGGTGATAAAAGGAACAATGAGCATGCTTTAGATGGTTCACATTTCTGCACGGTCATTGAGCTGTTCCATCCAACCATTCTGCTAAATGAAGTTGAAGGTATACAATAAAACGCTTCCTTTTGGTGTATGCTTCATTCTTTGGACTTTGGGTGGAGGCTAAGATTCTACAATGTTGCAAAGGCAAAAGTTATGTGTTAAAAGGCATGAGAAGTATCTGTATAAGGACACATAAATAGTCTTAAATTGAAGTGTAACTGCATAAAAAGGTAGTGGAAATGCTTTGGTGTAAATTCAATTGGAACTCTGCAGAAGTGATAGTAAAAAATAGAGTATTTAGGGCACAATTCATAAGCCACTTAGTATATTGTACTTCTACTGAGCCCTCCCCACCATTCTTGTTTGTTTGTTTTGTTTTGTTTTGTTTTGGTAGTGCCATTGTAACACCACGTACCGTGTGCATGTTTTCTTATACATTCATTGGCATGCCCCATCCCAGTACAAATGGAACAGAAAAATTCTTGGTCATGTAGCAGCAAAACCAATTTTCTCTCACATGCATACCTGGATGTGCCCCTTAGCCTGTCCTAACACTAGGTGCATATAGAAGTATAACAATTTCAGAAAATGTTTTGTAATTCCACAGTAAAAATCTAAATTGAAAAATCACTTTTAGGATAGGATTCTTAGTCACATTGACTTTTCATACAAGTTTAATTATGCAGTTTTAAAAGCCTTCCAGGACCCGAACAAGGCAGGACATAAATGCATCTACACATTTGTGAATATATTAAACATGCAAATAGCATCCTTGGGAGTTGGGGTTATAATTATCAGGGCTACAGCAGGTACTAGGAGAAAATTTGACTGAGGAAATTCCCCCTCTGCAATTCATTTATAGGACATCTCCCACTGGTGCCTATAGCAGTGCTCTATCATTTACAATCATCTGAAACAGATTACAGAGAAACTTAAACAAGGATGGGAGTGGATGGAGAGGAAGAAATCAGCAGTTGCTGCAACTTAGATGTATGTCAAAACCCTCAGAGTCTCCCTGGTTCTTTGAACAAGAAAAGTCTGCACTTAGAAATAAAGCACAGATCTCTTGAGAACCAGTCAGCACTGTAACCACTATCTTGCACTGTCTCTCTATGAGTTACCTGCATTTTCTATATATAAAAAGTCCCTACTGCAAAAAAACTGATTATCACAACTAGCAAGGTTGAGCACTATCAGTATTGTTCTTGACTGCTCCTGTCTCACAATATAGTATTCCACAATCTGAGACGCTGCACTTGTAAGCAAAGTCATCCCTTCTGAAGGAGTTCTTTGGCAAACCAGGCCTGGATCCAAGTATACCATTGGAAAAGAGAATGAGCCTAGGCTGCTTACGCTTTCAAAAACATTGTTCTTGAAAGAAAGGGCGGGAGGAAGGAAAGAAGGAAAGGTGGCAGCTTGTATGCTTGTGGTCAACAATATCTTGACTTAGGGATGCTGAACAGGGCCTAAAATGATAAGTAGGGATTCTAGCTAAGGGTATTCATGTGCAGAAAAATGCAGGACACAGTCCCATGCATGTGTGGACAGAAAGAGACCCATAATTTCCAGCAATGGCCGCCTGAGGAATGTTATAGGATCATTTTTTCCCCTGTCTAACATTGCATAGGATTACATTCTAAATAACTAAATGCACCATTTTTACGATACCTCATTTGTTTAGAAATTGCAAAATAGCATCAGTTTTGTGCTATCCAGAAGAAGCTGGAAGATCCCAGGAACCCATAAAGAAAGAAAGGAAGGAAGGAAGGAAGGAAGGAAGGAAGGAAGGAAGGGTCATTTCTATATTGTATCCAGTCCAATCCATTAATCTATTTGTAGTATTGCAACAGGAATACAAAGAGGTTCAGAACTTAAAATATGCAAAACATGTAGTTATCTAGGTTTATTTTGTTTTAAAATGGATTAAAAGGCCAGCAAAATTTGAAGAAAAGATGGATATCTAAAGAGAGATGTTCAAAATGCAAGTGTTACTGACTGCCATGCTACCTATCCGGTAAAGGTGAAGGATTAGTGTGGACAGGTGTGTTAATATACAAAAGTTTGTCTTCTCTTTGAACGGCTACCAGCGAGAGCTGCTCTTTGAAGAGGTTCTCTGTGTGAAGAGCTGCCCAGTCCAAGTCCTGTTCAAAAATAAAGACCCACAGGAAGGGAGAGCCAGGATGGACCTTGAAGCCGTCTCTCAGCAGGAGGCACCTCAACCCCAGACTGGGCAGGCACACAGTTCAGTTGGTGCCAGCCTTCCTCATTATTCTTGTTCTAGTTACATAAGAGCAGTTACTTTTAAATTTGGGTGTGTAGCTGTCACTTAGCATATGGAAATGCTATGCCAGCTGGTGTCTTCTTTTGTCCTTTGTCTTTTTTTTCTTTTTTGGTTAAGTGAAAGTGGCAACTCAAGGTATCCAAGAGGCACAATGTTGTATATACATGACTATTTGAATTAAGGGACGTGTGTAAGTCATTTTATAAAATAGCAATGTAATCACTATTTCTCCTTCATGGATCACTGCCTTGTTGTGGCGAAGGAGCTTGCGTAGCTCTATGAAGCTATGAGCTATGCTGTGCAGGGAGTACTACTGCGGGCAAGAATCCCTCAGAAGAAATGGAGTAGCCTTCATAGTCAACAAAAGAGTGGAAAAAGCAGTACTGGGATACAATCTCCAAAATGACAGAATGATCTCAGTTCAAATACAAGGCAAACCATTCAACATCACAATAGTCCATGTCTATGCCCCAACCACTGGTGCTGAAGAGGCTGAAGTTGACCAGTTCTATGAAGGCCTACAACACCTTCTAGAATTAACTCCAAAAAATGATGTCCTTATCATCATGGGGGATTGGAATGCTAAAGTAGGAAGCCAAAAGATAACTGGAATAACAGGCAAGTTTGGCCTGGGAGTACAAAATGAAGCAGGGCACAGGCTGGTAGAATTTTGTCAAGAGAATACGATGGTCATAGCAAACACTCTTTTCCAACAACCCAAGAGACGACTCTACACATGGACATCACCAGACAGTCAATACAGAAATCAGATTGACTATGTGCTCTGCAGCCAAAGATGGAGAAGCTCTATACAGTTAGTAAAAACTAGACCAGGAGCTGACTGTGGCTCAGATCATGAGCTTCTGGTTGCAACATTTAGGCTTAAGTTGCAGAAAGCAGGGAAAAGCACTAGGCCACTCAGGTATGACCTAAATCATATCCCTGATGAATATACAGTAGAGGTGACAAACAGGTTTAAGGAATTAGAACTGATAGAGTGCCTGAAGAACTATGGACGGAGGTTCGCAACATTGTACAAGAGGCAGCAACTAAAACCATCCCAAAGAAAAAGAAATGCAAAAAAGCAAAATGGCTGTCTGAGGAAGCTTTGCAAATAGCTGAGGAAAGAAGGGAAGTGAAAGGCAAGGGAGAAAGAGAAAGATACAAACAATTGAATGCAGAATTCCAGAGAACAGCTAGAAGAGATAAGAATGCCTTCTTAAATGAACAACACAAAGAAATAGAAGAAAACAAAAGAATAGGGAGGACCACAGATCTCTTCAAGAAAATTGGAGATATGAAGGGAACATTTCATGCAAAGATGGGCATGATAAAGGACCAAAATAGCAAGGCCCTAACAGAGGCAGAAGAGATTAAGAAGCGGTGGCAAGATTATAAAGAAGAACTATACAAGAAAGAGCTTAACATCCCTGATAACCACGATGGGGTGGTCACTGACCTCGAGCCAGACATCCTGGAATGTGAAGTCAAATGGGCCTTAGGAAGTCTGAGCAACAACAAAGCTAGTGGAGGCGACAGTATTCCAGTTGAGCTATTCAAAATCCTAAAAGACGATGCAGTAAAAGTGCTACACTCAATATGCCAGCAAATTTGGAAAACTCAACAGTGGCCACAGGATTGGAAAAGGTCAGTTTACATTCCGATCCCAAAGAAGGGCAATGCCAAAGAATGTTCAAACTACCACACCATTTGCACTCATTTCACATGCTAGCAAAGTGATGCTCAAAATCCTACAAGCTAGGCTCCAGCAGTATGTGGACCGAGAACTACCAGGCAGGATTTCGAAGAAGCAGAGGAACTAGAGATCAAATTGCCAACATACGCTGGATCATGGAGAAAGCTAGGGAGTGCCAGAAAAACATCTACTTCTGCTTCATTGACTATGCTAAAGCCTTTGATTGTGTGGATCAGAACAAATTGTGGCAAGTTCTTAAAGAGATAGGAGTACCAGACCATCTTATTTGTCTCTTGAGAAACCTATATGTGGGTCAAGAAGCAACAGTGAAAACTGGACACAGAACCACCGATTTGTTCAAAATTGAGAAAGGAGTTTGGCAAGGCTGTATACTGTCGCCCTGCCTATTTAACTTAATTGCAGAGCACATCATGAGAAAGTCAGGGATAGATGAATCACCAGTTGGAATTAAGATTGCTGGGAGAAATATCAACAACCTCAGATGTGCAGATGATGCCACTCTCATGGCAGAAACTGAAGAGGAACTAAAGAGCCTCTTGATGCGGGTGAAGGAGGAGAGCACAGAAGTTGGCTTGAAACTCAACATTAAGAAAACTAAGATAATGGCATCCGGTCCTCTCACTTCCTGGCAAATAGATGGGGAAGAAATGGAGGTAGTGACAGATTTTATTTTCCTGGGCTCCAAGATCACTGCAGATGGTGACTGCAGCCAAGAAATTAAAAGATGCTTTCTTCTTTTAGGAGGAAAGCTATGGCAAATCTAGACAGCATACTAAAAAGCAGAGACATCACCCTGCCAACTAAAGTGCGTATAGTCAAGGCTATGGTTTTCCCAGTTGCAATGTATGGCTGTGAAAGCTGGACCATAAGGAAGGTTGAGTGCAAAAGGATTGAGGCCTTTGAATTGTGGTGCTGGAGGAGACTCCTGCGAGTCCCTTGGACCGCAAGGCGATCAAACCGGTCAGTCCTAGAGGAGATCAACCCTGACTGCTCTTTAGAAGGCCAGATACTGAAGATGAAACTCAAACACTTTGGCCACCTAATGAGAAGGAAGGACTCCCTGGAGAAGAGCCCAATGCTGGGAACAATAGATGGCGAAAGAAGGGGACGGCAGAGGATGAGGTGGCTGG